CCCTCAGCAGAGCTAAGGAAGAAGGAAGGTCCCTTGGGAAAGGGTGAAAGCCAGGCAGAGACTTCAGGGGGACTTGACAGGGAAAAAAACAAATAAACTAGAGAAAGATAGAAGGGGAAGAAACCAAGGCTTTGTTTTGCAAGTGAGATGCATAATTTTTCCCATGTTCCTGCTCTCTGGAATGATGAAATGAGGTGCTCAAGAGATGGTGCAAGGAGGGAATTGCAGCAAGGAACAACCGATCAAATATGTGTTGCTCTCCTGTCAGCATGTCAAGTTCCGTATTTACCCTCAAGTTCATTTTTGCAGCCTGCTCAGCCATTGCTGGATGCACTATCAGACAGAGCCAGTGCTCAATTAAGCTTTTCTGCAGGAATTCACAGGATGAGCCATTCCCACAACATGTCAGTAGGTGGCAAAAAGCTACAACCCTTCTACCAAGCAAGAAATAAATATTTTTCCTACTCCTGCAAGAGGAGGAGGTATATGTGGGCTGCTCTGTCCTGTCAGTGGAGATGGATTGTGCTCCCCCAGACAGAGATCCTTGCACCAGTACTGCTGAGAGAGAGGGGGCATCCCAGAAAGGGCAACATCCTATACTGGGAGCAGGTGAAGAGGCTCAGAAGAGATGCAGGAGCTGCCTCCCTCCTCTTAATTCATCAGAGGACCCTTGTGCCAACTCTTGACCTTGCTCAGGAATTATTTAAAGAAAGCTGGAAAACATAAAGGGCTTAATCACTGTTTCCAGCATTAGAAAACAACAGGTTTATGGCTGTGCTATCGTGGTACAGTCTGAGGATACCTAGTTAAACAGATGAAAACATGCCACGGTTGATATTTTTCAAGCTGATGATAATACTTTAATCTTCATGTACAGCCTGAAACAGAGCTGCTCAAGTCAATGTTCTTAGACACTTTTCTCTCGTGGCTTTGTGTAAGCAGATTGAAACAATCCCAGTTGCCTATCACACACCTTCCAGTGAGGCAGGGCAGATAAAGGATTTAATAAGGTTACTGGATACATCCCAGTGGCTTTGACAGTGGGGTTTTTTTCTGCTTTTGAATGGGGGTGGGGGGGAAGGGGAGGGAGGATGTTATATGATGCTGGCCACTTGCATTTACGAGGAGGTGAAATACTCTGAGCACCAGGTGGGACAGAGCCCAGGAAGGTTAAAAAATCACATTAATCCAGACTACTAAATAAGATTGAGTTACAGCATGGCTTTGTTCAACTTTATTTACCTAACACCTATCTTTATTAAGTGTAAGTAAATAATTTTTCTGCTTAGGATCAACAACAGAGATATTACAACAACCCTGGCTACTTTTTTAAATACAGAGGTGAGGTTCATTGGAATTTCCTCTAACAGGTTTTACAGTTAATTGGTGGTGATTTTCTCAGACACAAACCACTGGCGCTGACCTCCCCCAGCTTGGTTGTCTCCTTCAGGCTGAGCATTATCTTTTTGTTTTAACATGTTAGCAAAACCAGTTCCGCTAATCCTGAGCTGGAGAAACTTGGTTGGCTCTGGCCACGTTTATACTGCCACCAAAAACTTCCTATACCCATTTCACTGGGAAGACCAAATGTATTTGTGTACTGGGGCTGGCATCTATCTGACCTAAATCTCTTTCTTCATGGCTGTGCCATTGACTGAAACCCTCAGTCACATCAACTGCATAAAAATCTCCATTCTTTGTCATTTTGGTGAAAACTGGTAATGTGAATTTTCTGAAGGTGCTGAATCATGGCTGAGCAGCTTCTGCCTCAGCACGAATCCTGGGTGGAGACACATTTAACCTGCATGATGGGTTCAGCCTTGCCTCAAAGCTGGGTGGGTGGTGTGAAATGCCTTGTTAGCCAGCAGGTAGCTCACCCCATCGCAGGATAGACGAGGGAAATGTCACCCCCTGGAGATACTCCTTACTCCTCCTCTCATGTTCTCAGCTATTAACAGAGTAGGTGGCTGTTTTATATCAGCTTCACAGCCCTTAGATAGCCCAAATTAGGTCAGAAAATAGCACTCTTCTTCCCTGCTCTGAATCCTTCCCTCTTGGGTCGTCCTACTCTGACTACCAGAAAGTAGTCACCACTACCAAAAGTTTGCACACCACCAAAATCAAACCCCATGCAGGTTTCCTCATCATTATCCTTTAAAACTCATCTCACAGCTGTGCCTGCCAGCTGGGATGCAGCAGTGCTCCAGCCTCTCTTCCTCCCTGTGGAGGCATGCTGGGGTCAAGGTGAGGGGCTCTGCTAAAGTACAGGCACTGGTTTCTGTGGTGAGTGACTTGGGTTGAAGCTGTGTGTGCTCAGTTATGTCGAGTGGCAAGTTTCATCCTCTCCATAGTTGACTATAACGGTTCAGCCTTCAATTGTTGAGCTAGTATCAAGCATTTGGAATCAGGAGCTATTCAGAGAAAAACAGCTCTGTAAAATCTTCCTTGCTGAGTTGCAGCACACATGTTGTGGGGTTTTCTTTCCATCTTCTGTAATCTGTAGAAAAGTCTAAGTTTCACCTTTAGTAAGAAAAACCATTTTCATTTTCAGCCTCTGGAAGGATGTTAGAAAATGAGAGAAGAGGATGAGTTGCCATTTGCCTCTCTACAGGTTGTAATGCATTAATACAATCGAGAGCAGCACAGTCAAATGGTTTTGAGCACTAGAAGTAGGAAGCAGGTTTGCTGCTTTTGTAACCTACATAAGAGCAAATTTTGCATGCTGTAAATTGATAAATCCATGCTCAGAGTCTCTTCTCTGCACAGTTCGTGATATGGATCGACTGGTCCACATACAGTTCTCCATGGGCAGCACTCTTCCCCAAGACTGGCAATGGGATTATTGGAAAACTAATCAGCTCTATCTGAGAAAAATTGCATTTCCACCAATTATAGCTTAATTGTTGACAGATGGGTATGCAGAAGGGAGATGTATCACATCATTAAGAGAACAGGTGTACAGACAAGTGCCAGATTAATTGTTCCAGCCCATTAAATCATTGACCTTTTCAGCATACCCTCAACATCGAATTCAAGGCTCTCACGGTATTTTCAGCTCACACACAATGACCATATTTATCAGCAGAGTTCTCAGGAGCATTTTTATAACACAGATTCCAGACACAGACTCATTAGCTGTGAGCAGTTCTCTTCTTCCTACTTCTCTCTGTTTGGGTTTGTTTTGTTGGCTTTTCAGTGAAATCATACATAGCGATTTCTCCAAAGAGCAGTTTTCTCCGTGAAGCATGTAGACATGCTGTAATGGGCTATGCATTTAAGGATGTCAAAAAGAGAGAGAGGTGAAATCAGGATAGAGAAGCTCAGTGCTGGGCAACTCTGCTGGAGGCTTCAGCTTTGATTTGGGGCTTTGGCTGTAATTTCCAGCTCCTGCTCCACCTAGGGTTTTCAATAAAGCTTGGGCTAAATACTGTTGAAACTGAGTCAGCCATGGGCGTCCAATTCCCCTAAATATGTGTAAAAATGTGTCTCCTGCCCTTTTGATGGCTATGTAATCCAGGAAGTTGAGGGTGCAGCACAGACACATCCAAAACAGCTTTGTGGGAGGTAGTGCAGGTTTGAGACAGTGATGCAGGACATGCTTCATCTGTCCTGAGCTGTCCTGGGTAATTGAGACCTGACTCCAGACCTAGTTATTTTGGAAGTCTTAACTTGTAAAGTAAGAGAATAAGATTTCCAGCTGAAGGAAATGGAAGTTGCTGTGATGATAATCATGTTTGTTACTCCTGGAGTCCCTGCCCTAAGGCAATGAGCTGATTTGAAGTGTTTTAGAAAGACAAAGTGGAAAGCAACCTAGGGAGACAAGCAGGAGGTACAAGGAAGGGTCAACTCTGCAACTTTGAACAGAAGCAAAATTGATGCTGGGTATCAGGCAGGTCTTTTTCCCAGGGCAGGGCTGGTAGTGGGCTCTCTCCCTCTCTTGTGTAGCACCAGTCCCCTATATATCTAGTTTGGCACATTAAATTAAATACATTGTGTGTAACTGAAATATCTTTTATATATGTGCTTGAATGACTTACTGTGTTCCACAAAGCTTATGCATCTGTACTGCAATGGCATTTATGGAGCTACAAAGACAACCAGATAAGAGACAGGAGAACTGGGTTTTCTCTCAAATAACAAACGATTTTGTCAGGAAAAGCAGATAATTTTATGAAAAAATACAGTTTAGAAGAGGTGGAAATTGCAGGAATCTCTTGGAAATGTCAGATTGTAACAGGGCAGCTTTTCCAAATTCTTGGTGGTGCAGCAGCCTTGACCAGCACCACCAGGGTATGTGTCTGTAGGAGATGCTGGAGATCCCTCAGTTTCCACTGTTCACTGCACAGCACTGAACCATGAACAGAGAAAGTAAGTGAATGAAAACCAGCTTTTTCAGAAGGTTATCTATAAAACTGGAGGTTAGTATGAAGAAAGTACATGTATTTCTGTGTCTGGGACAGCGGAGGAAATACTTTAAAAAAAAAAAAAAAGTAAAAAGGAATTTTAGAAATGCAGAGTATTTATTTTAGAGACTTCCTAAATTGGTCATTTTACCTTACAATTTGAACTGGGTTTTTGTGGTTTAGGAAAGGATATAAAGTTTAAAAAAAGTTAAACACAAAGTCTGAGTAACCTGAAGGCAAGCAAAGCATTTCATTTCAGTTCGAACAATGTCTGGGGTTAACCCAGAATTTTCTCCAGCTTCTGCCTAGTTTTTTTGTCAGCCTTCTTCTCCCTCTATCCCCACTTCATTGTTACTCAGTCCAAGCCATTTTCCTCCCAGATAGTTTGATTCAGGCACATAACCCCGACAGTCATTATTTACTCCACATTTGTGGTCTCTTCATTTCCAGCTGCCCTTTCCACTGTCCTGTACTCCCAGAAATGCTGCTCAATGAGAACGTCGTGTCTTCACCCTTGGTCCATCCATCTGGGAGTTTTCAGCACCACCAGAGCTGGGGCTTTTCTTCAGCATGTCTGTCTCACTCCAAGCCATGCCACTAGAAATCCCTATCAAAAAAGTCATCAAAGAGAGAAACTCTCTCTGTCTTGGTTCTCACAAGCGTAGGTTTGCGATAAATCTTCTCTTCCCTTTCCCACTCCTCAGACCCTGTGCTGGAGGTGTCCCAGAACAGATCCCTCATCCGCGGCTCCCTGAAGAACCACAGGTCAACCTTCCTGCTTCTTCCTGGAGAAAGTTCAGCCCCATCACACTGGCTGGAGAGTCCACCACCCCACGTGTTTCCTTGCGGAGAGAAAAAAAACCCCAAACTTAAAAGAATCATAATTTTCCAGAGCTGCAAGCCCTGTTGCCTAGAGTTTAGCTGAAAATGGCTATGGGCAGCTGGAGGCATGTAAAGAAGATCCTGAAATATCAGTGTAAGACCAGACCCTATGCTCAAGGCTGAGAGGGAAAAGGTATAATACACTCATGGTGAAATTATAGAGTCTGGCAAGAGGTAGTATGGTTTCATCCCCAAGCAGAAGAGAGCTGAGGTGAAGAAACACAAGGGAGTAGGAGCAACCAAGTCTGTTCCCCTTTCTCCTAGTGAAAGTTCACTGTCAGACAAGTTTTTCAGTGATTTAAGTATTTTTATCCTTGGTGATACATTTTCAGCCTATGCCAAAGGTTGTCACATGCAAACAAAGCAGAACAGGGGCACATGCCCCAGGGATGTCAGTATGAAGTGGCAGCTGAGGTTCACTTTGATTTCTCCTTTGTGAGGGACAGTTTGGTCCTTGTGTGCTCTGGCATCACCAGCCCCTCCAGCTGCTTCCCCAGCCTGCACCAACCAGTGCAAATATAAAGCACTGCTGGTCAGCCCTCCAGATTAATTCTACATCCATTCC